GCATGTCTGCGCTGATTTATCGACCGAAGTGAACGCCGCGCTGGACGACCACCAGTACCCACTACCCGTACCGAGAAATACCTTGGTAAAACTGAATGGTGGTAAGTGCTTTGCTAAGTTTGATCTGTCCGATGCTTATCTTCAAGTGGACGTTACCGAAGACTCGAGAGAGTTGTTGACGATTAACACATGGGGGACTATTCCAATAGAACCGTTTGCCTTTTGCTGTAAAAACGGTCCCAGCCATCTTCCAACACTTGATGGATACGATGCTCGCGGGAGTTTTTGGAGCCGCTGCAGATTTGGATCACATCATAGTGATGGGTCAAAAATCGGAAAAGCTATTTAACTGGCTGGATGAAGCGCTTGGTTGCATCCAGTCGTACGGTTTCCGGATCCGTGAGCACAAATGCACATTTTTCACGCCGACCATCAAATCCCATAGTTCTATCCTTGGGAAAGATGGATGTCGACCAGATCCGGCAAACGTAGAAGCCACAAGAAAAATGCCTCCACCAACAGACCTACAATGCCTCTGTTCCTTTTGTGGGGTCAGCAGTCACCATAGCGCATTCTTGCTTGAGATGCATCGCCTGCGTGCCCCGCTAAACAAGCTACCAACCAAAGGCCGAACTTGAAAGTGGAAGTCGGAATGCCAGAATGTCTTTGAACGGGTCAAATCATTGCTGACTTCAAACCTGCTTCTGACCCATTTCGGCCCTTTCATTGAGATTGTTCTCGCCATAGATGCATCAAGTCACGGGATCGGGAGAGTAATTTCACACATGCACTCGGATGGGTCTCAGAAAACAATCGCGCATGCCGTCAAGACACTTACGAAGGCCGACAGGGACTACAGCCAGATCTAGAAGGAAGCTTTGACCATAGTGTTTGCTATGAAAAAATTGCACAAGATGCTGTACGGCCGCCGCTTCAAGCTTTTGACAGATCACGAGCCCCAGCTAACTATCTTTATTTCGAAAAAAGGTACCCCGGCCAATAGAGATAACAGGCTACAAGGATGGGCTCTTACCTTAATTGGGTGCGATTTCGAGATTCACTACAAGTCAACAATTTCCCTTGGTCAAGCAGACGCCCTGTTACGCCTAACTGATCCCCAACAGCAAGAACATGAGGACACATTGATTACTTCGGTCGAGATCGAACCTGGTGAGGGACACACTGCAGGATTTACCAGTTACAGCAGAAGCGGTACGAGCCGAAACGCATCGGGACCCAGTACTCAAGAAGGCCACACAGCTCCGCAAAACGAGTTGGCCACGTTCATGTTCATCTGTCGAGTTGCAGCAGTACTACCAGAGGAGACGTTCGCTCTCCATTGTGAACGACCGTATACTAGTTTTAAAAAGAGTAGTCATCCACAAGGTCTTTCAGGAGCGCGTTATTCGGCAGCTCCATGCCGAGCATCCTGGGATTAATCAGATGAAGGCGCTTGCCCGCAGCTATGTATGCTGGCCTTAAATGGACACACAGCTAGAACTGGCTGAACGCTGCCAAAAGTGTGCCAATGTCTTAAAAGCACCACAAAAAGCGGAGCCAAAACCTACGAAACAAGGGTGCGGTATCTGTGTCGATTTCGCAGGACCGATCGACGGACGCAGTCTACTAATACAGCAAATGGCCTAAAGTGTTTATCATGGATAGCACAACCACCAATGCTACTGTATCAAAACGGCACCAAATCTTCAGCAGATTCTGCTGTCCATAGACAATTGTAACTGACTAGGGCACGCAATTCACATCGGCAACTCTTACGGAGTTCTGTAAACAATGCGCCGTCCAGCACATTCGCACAACGCCGTTTCAGCCACAGTCGCATGGCCATGCAGAAGGGTTTGTAGATATGTTTAAGCGAGCTCTTCACAAATCAAATGGGGAGGGACGTATAGAGGAGGTGGTTGGCCGGTTATTTTTCTTTTACTGATCAACACATAAGCCAGAAGTGCCGGATGGAGTTTCGCCAGTACAGGCTATGAACAGGAAACTCCGTATGCCATTCGACCGCGCTAGGAGCCCTCTGTTGGTGAAAGGTACCGCAGAATGGAATAAGATACTAACCGAAGGTATGGAGTAAAAAAACAATCGTTCACACGGGGACAGACAGTGCTAGTATGTGACTATCGGGGAAGCCACGCGAAGTGGACGTGGCACGATCAAAAACAAGCACGGAAATCTCAGGCATGACGTGATGGTAGGAATACAGAGATGGGCCCGGCATGCAAACCAACTACGGCCAACGCTGTGCCAACCAGAAGAAGCAAAACCTGCCAATTTCCCGTTTGTCTTGTTGGTGGAAAGCCCGTGGACGACTGCTGTCAGTTAAGCAATGAAATAAGAACAATGACTCCAGAATCCGCTGCTCGAGCACCTTAGTCGAAGCAATAGGCCGACAGATACAAAACACTGTCCACAAGCTTGGGAGTTAATCCAAGGCTTTCATCATACCCTGCAGATGACGTCTCCGGAGGGTAGGGATCCGGGGAAAGAATTGCCCAAAAAGCCATCACTTCAGTGATCAGCCGATTTTTACTGATCATTGCATGGAACGCTCTAGAATGTTCCAAGGCTTGCACATGACTAGCAACCTTCTGAAGATTAGCCAAATCGGCATAGAACTACTAGTTTTGACAGCTATTCTGGAAGTCGCAGGTCAGTGGGTGAACTATAAGTACAACCAAAGCCTGTTGCAGTTGTAGTGTTTTCGGCGGCGGTTAATGCGTTAATTTGTCAAGGTCATTGGCGTGCTGATTTTTCCTTCGGTTGGGCTAGAAGTTTTGTGGAGCAGTAAAGTGCATATTTCGGAATCGCGTCAAATGTGAAGATTACAACAGGCAACAAACCCGAGGAGCGTGCAACACACGAAGGTTCAAAGATAGGAGCACAGCGAAGCAGTTGATAAGCACTTGCCTCAAAGCAGCTAGATTGGTCAAAAGTGAAATTGCCGCTGGCCTGAAAATATCCCAATGTGTAGCAATTTATTACGTAGAAGACGAATGTAACCATGGGAAATGATTATTCGCTTTCGTTTTAAAAATATTTCAGATAGTTTATTTTCAATGTTTTATCGTATTCCGTGGGACGGCAGGAAAATCCTAAGTGTGGAATGATGCAATATCGTATTGTATGATGCTGTCGTGCAATCATCATGCGGAGTTTATTGTATAATTTTCTAGATGTTGTAAGAACTGGCTCATATTGAAAGCATCAGTAACGGTTAGATCCTTTTTTCAGACAGGAAGATAATCTGTATTCTGTTTCGATCGTGTAGGTCTCATGAATACATTAGAAATAACTCATAACTCACAAAAACGCAGACAATTTGCAGACTCTTCCAAGCTTACATTGAAGGCGGTTGTTGCACAATGGAAACCATCTTTCATCTACACCAGCAGCTAATACTGTCCACATGAAAGAACGTATTAGTTAAAGTAGTTGTTGAACTCCATTGAGTGTAACAAGTACAGCAGGCACCAATGTGGTGATTTGAACATGATTGCCCTCTTAATGGGACTACAGCTTGGATACACAAAATACTGTTGTTTCTTGTACCAGTGGGATAGCCGAGCAAGGGATATGCACTACTTGCGGAAGGAATGGACCTAGCTCTGGTCAAGACTCACAAAATTCTACAACGGCCCCTACACATCAAACTGGGTTTGGTGAAGAACTTCGTGAAAACCACGGACAGCGTTCCGATACTTGCATGAAAAATACCCGTGACCCAGCGAAGCAAAGATTGAAGAGGGTTCTGTCGATCTTCGGATTCGACAGTTACTCAACAACTTGATGCAGAGTGATGTAAAACAAGCTTGAAATGCTTTTCGCCTAGTGTCCATTAACATCCTTGAGAGTGCTAAGGCAGGGAACTATAAGGAACTAGTAAAAGACAAGGAGAAACAGCGTCAGAAACACGGTAGCAGTATGTTTCTGAAAATCCACTCTCTTCATTCCCATCTGGATTTCTTCCCTGGCAACTGCGGTGTGATTAGTGATAACATGGCGAATGTTTACACCAAGATATCATAACAATAGAAGAATGCTACCAGGGAAAATGGTTCACCATCAAGATGGATGGATACTGCTGAGCGCTCGCCAGAGCTGCTCCGGAACAGTACATGAGGCAGCCCAAGATATCTAAGATGCAGCCCATGTGTGCACTTATTGCAGGTATCCAAGTTAGTGTATGAAAACTATCGCCATGTATCTGGTGATGTAAACATTATTGCGGGTTAAAAAGAAGCTAGAGTCAATTTCGCGTGTTGGCTGTTATATGTGTTTAGTACATAAACATTGACAATAACTGACTGCTATGATTTCAGTAACAAGAATATGGTAGAAAATTTACTGCCCAGCGTTAGTATAGAGCAAATCCACCAAGCTCAATCAGCGACTCATCGCAATCGCAGATGCGTAATCCATTGATACCTCAGTCTTACCGAAAGCTGCCAGGATGCGATTCGCATACCTGGTGGTCGTTTATTCCGGTGCTGTTTACAGGTACAGCGACATTGGATAAGATGACGAAAAAGAGTAAAGGGACCAACTGGGATTTTGAGCAGGAGTCTCGGGATAGACCATAACAGTGACTGCATAAGTCACAAGGTATGGAGCGGCGGAAGAGTAACGACACCAAGTGAATGATTTTAAGGTTACTTTACGATGCTCTTAATTGTACGTCCTCATTTTGACCATTTTCCATGAAGATGCTAGTCAAAGACACCAGATTTATCAACCTTCGATGCTCCGATCACAGGTGATTGGCTGAACTACTGTGCATTACCGCGGAATACATTATGCACTATTTTGAGTAGACCGTGTTTCGATGATTGAGAATAATTAGTAAACAACTAGGTAAAATGATAGCCGAAGAGTGCAGTTTAATCGGAGGCAGACAAAGAAGCATAAGTACGTGGACAGAGGCAGTAGCAACTCGTGTGGTGCAGCAGTAGACAACAGAGAAATAACTAATTTCAGCATACCCTTGGTTGACAGTTTTTGCAGTCGATTCACCATCGAGTTTTAGCCACTGAGACAAGTCGGAATTGGCGATTTGTTTGAGTTGAGCTACAACAGGGTGAGTAGCAACTAACGACTTCGGTTCAGATATATCCGGAGCATTGGACACACCAGTGGCAGGTTGTAGGTCAGCTGCGGTTGGGGTGTTGACAGCAGCGACATCAGATGAAAGCCCTCTGAGATTTCGCTTTGCCTGGTCACATTGCATTCGAGCTCCGCAACATGTCGGACCGCCAGGTCCACCACGACACTGGGAGTAGATGCAGCATTCGGGTACCGCAGAGTCTGTGATTAGCTCCTCGATAGACTGAGCAATGCGAGGTTGGCAAGAAAGAACAAATGGAGATTCATTCAAACACAATGTCGTAGGGTAGGAAAAGGGAGAGCATGTGTTACGCCTATGGTTATTTGAATCCAAACGCAATTAAAGATATGTGTAAGGATATCATCTGACACAGTTTATCTCTTGGGCATAAAAATACAACCGATGCAGCAACAAATAACAAGTCATGAACGCTCAAAATAGTATCATGGCCGTAACTCGCATCACAAATGATTGTTGATTCCAGGCATCTAAGAGCTGTTGTATGTGAAAGGAAACAGATCCACATTTGCCTGAAATAACGAAAGATGTGAGTGGATTCAACTTGTAAACCCAAACCTGCGCAGCAATCAGAGGAAAGTTAGGGAAGGAGTGTGATTCAAGTGATCAATCAACAAATTACAAAGACATAGCTAATCGACACAAGTTTGATACAGGTACGAACAACTGTGCAGGTTATGGAATTCAGTTGCTTGATAAGCATACGCAAATTGACAATGAGTTGAAGCAGATGTACTCTATGATACCTAGTGATAAGAATAGAGTTGAAAAGAAATCGTGACTGGGATAAGGTTGTAAATGAAGAAACATGAAAAGGGAAAAGTTTAAGATAATAAGCAGTTTGTCAGTTAGATACAAAAAACCTCGCTGACTACACGATATCTTGGAACATATTTGGAACCGATCAGAAAGTCAATTTCAGAAGGCTTGGTAGACGACCGGTTAGTATATAATATCTAATAATACATGTAATATATAATAATATATAATATTAAAATATAATATAATATGTATTATCATATATTAACCGGTTGTCTAGCAAGTCTTCTGAAATGAAAACCTCGCTGACCAGTTCACTGTTTTTATAACATGGATGATGCGCGATTGGAGCAATCATGAAGAACGGCATACCGACATATTCATGCTGAAGCTGAGCAACTGTAGTCAACGGGCCGGCAGCTTCAGTCCATTGTGCAGGCCGTGGCCTTTAGGATCAAAACCTGCCTTGTAATCTGAGGGCGCAGGGTCGAGCAAGTGTAGTGACAGAGCTAACCATAAAATATCCTTAACACGCGTCGGACTGTTGGTTGTTGCGCAGCAGCGAAGCGTCGGTACTGCATGCCCGCGTACTGCTGATGCCCTTTTGTGCCGAAATGATGACACCTATGATATTGAAACTGAAGACGGGAAACACGGAGCAAAGTACGATAAAAAGAATGTGGAAATGAAAGAATCTTTGAACTGTAGGAATAGTAGGCGGAACTAGCAGTGACTATTCCAAGTCACAGGTCCCAGAAATCTGATGCCGCATGCTTCTGTGCTCACGCAGACGAACCGAACAAAAATTATCGGGAGCAACGGCAACAAAACAACAGTGCTGGTACGTCGTATCGACGCTTTGCCACCGGGTAACCATCACTAGTCGCCTGCATCTATAAAGGCTCGAATAGATAAATGCATTACAAGCCAGAAGATTGAGTCATTTGGCCACTGGCCGGTTAATAACAGAAAAGCAATTTCGGATACCACCAGAATACACTGACGCGGACTAGTGATTGTAATGATGTAAAACAGATCCACAGGTGTATCTGGGGGGGGGGGGCGAAAATTCCCCCACAGGAGAGGAAACAGTGGACGCTAACATACCACATCTGCCATTTCTGTTGGACTCGGCTGCGGTTCAGCCTTTAGGTTTTCGATTGTAACTGGAGGCCTAGGAGATGGCATATCTCGGCGCAACCACTTGATCAAATCAATGGGCCCAGATTGAGTTAAGTAAGATGGCAAATGCGTAGCCGCATGGTTAGAGCTGTTGCTTGGCGTAGTGTCCTTAGGGTGCGAATCGGAAATTGGAGAGGTGAATTTTGGCGAGACAGTAGGCACACTGGGAGCGAGCCATATAGACAAATCCTCCGACAATTTGACGTCATCATTTTGTGATGGAGGCTTCGCAGATAAACAGTATTTGGAGCGGAGTGGGAAGCCCGTTTGCAGATCCAACTGAGAAAAAACACAATGGAAGTGAAAGCTCAGAGCATCATAATGGAGCCAATCACTGGAAAAAATGATTGTCCAAATAGCCAATCCGAGAGCAATAGCCACCACCGATAAAGTGAATCGGGTGCAAACTGGTGAATCAGATGTGAACAGAAATTCCCAATAACCGAACTGAGTTTTCGTGACTGAGGTCTCAGTTTTATCATGGCTTCTAACGAGGGAGAGAAATACATTAAGACAGTGACATCGCATATACTGGAGGCATTTCCCACATGTGTAACTAGTACCATGCTCCAGAAAGACACTTTGAAAGTGACCCCCTAACAGTGGACTGGATGAAGGTTTTCACTATGGAGCATGAGCAACCGAACTTGTGGTGATCACAGCTCAGTTTAACTGAATAACAATTGTTCCATTCGAAAATCCCTTGATCTAACTACTTTGATTAGTCTCAGTAACAACAATCGTATAGTTTTTAAAAAAAAACAGAAAATACCACGGAATGATTCGAAAAGAACACGGAATATTACAATGGCCGGAGAAAAAGTAAGGGGTAAGGCACTTGAGAACGGGTTCAAGAACGCTACTGACTTCGTGACCACGTCATGCATGATAGGGTCTGTATCAAGCCCCACTTCAGAGTAAAAATAGACACAAACCCGATCCAATCTCAGTCACGTACATCACGATCTCTGGCACTATCACCAACTAGGCAATTTGGGGTGAGGTTGGCAGAAGTGGCAAAGATACGATCTAGCAAAAATTCAGTTCCGTTCAAGCTCAACAGATACTTCAGTAAACCATTAGATTCGCTATCAAGAACCGGCTGGGGACCTCCGGAGCCACGTACACACAACCAGTAAGTTAGATCAGTGACCAATGGTGAACTGAGTGTGTTATCCGTTGCAACATTCGTTGATCGCTGGCAAATCAGGTTTGAGGTCGTCAGTGATTCGGGAGAAGAGATGAAACCTTAGTGCCACTAAATAAATGAAACACAAAATCTAGAACGATGGTGAGCAGAAACACCAAAATGAAAGGGTGTGCAGTTGCTCATCAATATGTTGGGGGTATTTGACTGTGGGATCTGTGATCCCTTCCGTTCAGGTGGCTAGCTTGCCGAACAGCCTCCTCGTGGTGCCAGCTGGGAGGTTCCAGCAAGTCGTTCGGAAGCAGTGTTCCAGTAGGCGGTGGATTTTGGCCTGGCAAGCGATCTCCCTATCAAAAGTCACATATGTCCGTTTAACAACTCTGTGACGTGGCAGATATGACTCGACACCAATAAAATCACTGCCCCGTGCTTCCAACGGGCGAAGAATTGTCTTCTGGCAACTTGATGCCAAAATTGTGGGGAGCATTGCCCCTCTGTTTGATAAACGAAAGGCGTATGAACTAGACAATCAGTCGCTTGAATTCGCTCCGCTGCTTTGCGGGCAGACTTTTCGGATAAAGGTTTGGGGTGGCTTCCCATAAGTCCCATAAGCCAATCGAGCTGTGAGCTTATAACTCGCGGACCTGTTGTCTCCCATGGCTAGGTTTTACGGGAAGAGGGTCATCGACCACTTCCTAATCTCCAAAGAGGATGGGGTTTTTACTAGGATACTGACAGGGCGCCCACACCTGACAGGAGAACGACTCGGGTCCTCAGCCAAAGCCTTTGATTAAACGTACACCCGAGGCAGCGGGTCTAGCACAATGTCATTTCATCGACTCACGCGGATTGGTGTCCTGGATCTTAGCAGGGACAAGGGCGTAACCCAACTCCCACCCAGCGGTCGCCACGAGGAGGCGTCCAGGACATGAGCCAATGGCACAACAGTAGCAGCAATGGGTAGACCACCAGTCAGGATCTAGCCATCACCAGCCTCTGCGCACCATAGACTCTCCAGCCATATATATATATATATATATATATATATATATATATATATATATATATATATATATATAATGGTGGGTTGATGAACATCCGTCGTTTCGGTGCGAGAATCCTAGTCTGTTAGACAACTATCTGTATGTTGCTGTTTGCTGACGACTGTGCGTTGTTTGCACACAGCGCGGATGAGTTGCAGCACATGATTAGCGCTCTGGCTTCGACAGCGGCCAAATTCGGGCTCACCCTCAACAAAAACAAAACTGTCTGTCTCTTTCAGCCTGCACCGGAGGTGCAATCTTCAATATTGTAGCAAATCAACATTGGTGCTGAAGTATTAGAAACCACCTCCCACTTTTGCTACCTTGGGAGTGTGATGTCGACTGATCAGCAGCTAGACGGTGAGCTGCGTATCCGCGTGTCTAAGGCAGCAGCGGCATTCGGGAAGCTTGAGTACCGAGTGTGGAACAACCATCAGCTTACCATTGGCACGAAGCTGATGGTGTACACGTCCATGGTGCTGTCTGTTCTTCTATACGGCAGCGAAACGTGGACGATATACCGTCGGGATGTGCGATATCTCGAGCGGTTCCATCAGCAGTGTCTGCGACGGATTTTGCGCATCGGTTGGGGCGCCAGAGTTGCTGACAAAGTGGGATGTATGCAGTGAACTGCATACTTTTGCTGACACCTGAGATAGCTCGGTCATGTGAGCCGTATGGATTCGACTCGGATACCGAAACAACTCTTATACGGTCAGCTGGGTACTGGAAAGTGACACGTGGGGAAACCAAAGTTACGTTACTACGACATGATCAAAGTGAGCCTCACACGTTCTAACCTTGATTGCAGGTCATGGGAATCGAAAGCGGTTGATCGGCGCGTATGACGCGATCTCATCACGAAGGCAGTTGCTGAAGTGCGGGCGGAAGACCTCATGCATGCAGAGAAGAAGCGGCAACTGCGGAAGCGGCAAGCACCGATGGGTTGTACTCCATCGACATCAGTCGCATGGTGCTGTAGCACATGCGGTCGCGAGTGCCTGAGTCAGGCAGGCCTAGTGAGCCATGAGCGAGCCCACTCGGGACTACTACCGAAACGACGACGGGTTCTGCAGAGAAAGTAGGCAGAACCGGCGCAGCGTTTGTAGGTATGCTGCATTCGATTTACTAACCGCGTGCTTGCATGCTAAGTCTATTTATTTCAGGTGGTGGGTTTTCAATTTTGCCCTAATGCTTTTCTTTCCCCTATAAATGCCTAGTTATACTCTCTTCTGTACACTTGCACACGTCGCTTATGCCACTTGTAGTTATTTCGATAACATTTTCGTGTGTGTAGCATTTCCGTAAAATAAACCTCGTGATCTCGATAACTTACCTCGTATTCTTTTATAAACGTGTTCTTTTGTAAACAACTTTTGCATATGCTCATTGATCTAAGATTTATGTCACCGTTTGCTTACGTGCTAAGTCTGTTTATTTCAGGTGGTGGGTTTTCAATTTTGTCCCAATGCTTTGCTTGCTCATATAAATGTCTACCTGTACTCTCTTCTATAAACTTGCACACTTCACTTAAGCCAATTCATGTCCTTTTCGAAATCATTTTTGTGTTCGTGGCATTTCCATAAGGTATACTTTCTGACCTCGTGAACTTATCTCGCATTCTACTGTAAACAATTTACTTTAGATGCTCATTACTTTAAGATACATGCCACCCTTTCCTTATGCATTACTCGATTTATTTTCTGTTATTTTTCTCTCAAGTGACTGGCTGTTGCTTGATATACCCGGTGTGGCTGCGCTTGATGTGCATGTTGACAAGGTGCCTACCTGTCTATTACCCATTACCTCGTCCATACTGGCTCCAGGATACAGTTAGTCGCTACTGGAGGGGACAGGGTGCACGGTCCTTGTGGCCGTGTTAGGATCAAAGAGTGGTTCCATGCACTCAGTGTGGAGCGGACTACAGCCAGCCACCGCCTTGTGTGCAATTGATTCCCCAAATACAGTGTGCTTGTGTATGCCTGTGAAGGAGTGTGGGCCGGCTCCGCTGATGGAACGTGGCTCCCATCCACATGCCTCCCGATCTTATTCCTTCGGGTTTACACTGGATATGGGGTGTGTGGTTGGAGCTGTGGGTGGTGCAGCGCAGGCCCCCCATGGTCCCTCTGTAGGCGCAGGCGTCCAGTGGCTTGCCACAGTGACAGGGAAATCCGAAATCGGATGCCGCCAACGGTATATATACATGGCGAGAGAGTCTATGGTGCGCTGAGGCTGGTGATGGCTAGATCCTGACTGGTGGTCTACCCATTGCTGCTACTGTTGTGCCATTGGCTCATGTCCTGGACGCCTCCTCGTGGCGACCGCTGGGTGGGAGTTGGGTTACGCCCTTGTCCCTGCTAAGATCCAGGACACCAATCCGCGTGAGTCGGTGAAATGACATTGTGCTAGACCCGCTGCCTCGGGTGTACATTTAATCAAAGGCTTTGGCTGAGGACCCGAGTCGTTCTCCTGTCAGGTGTGGGCGCCCTGTCAGTATCCTAGTAAAAACCCCATCCTCTTTGGAGATTAGGAAGTGGTCGATGACCCTCTTCCCGTAAAACCTAGCCATGGGAGACAACAGGTCCGCGGGTTATATGCTCACAGCTCGATCGGCGCAGAGCACGAGCGCCACGTATTGTCTCTTACGGTTGGGGGGGCATCTCCGGGTGTTCAATGGTTTGCTACTGCCCGCCTCAAGCCAGGCACCTCCTGGTCAAATTGATGTAAACCCACCAAACGCACCTGCGTCTGGCCGTGGTCGCAGGTGTAGCCTACTGCGGTCGCAAAACATATAGAAATCGTTCCAGTACCTCAGAGGCTGCGTGTGACGGTCGTCAAGCAGATCCCAATCTGTCTCTGAAATCACATTCCCGAGATGGAGCTGCACCCCACTGCCTTGTGGGTCGGGCTATTGAGTTAAAGGCTCCGGGTGGAGTCCGTCAATCAAACCTCCGAAGCACAACGACCACCTCGCGTGCGATTGCTCACCAATGCAATCGTTTGCCTGCGCACGAAACACTCAGCATCGGGTGCTGGAATGTTCGCACACTACAGGACCGCAACTCGTGTGAGCGCCCCGAGCGACGCAC